AATTATAAAGCTCAAGCACAGGCTAAGAACTTCAGTTGATAAAGTTGTTTGATTTTGGTGAAGTCCATAGAGCTGTGCTGTTTTTAAGGAAGAGATATTATTCCTGCAAGTTTTCATAGTGCTAAATTTCAATTAAATGCTGTTGTTGCTTATAGTCTTATAGACTATTCTGTTATCACTTATAAACATAAAGGACACAAATAAATTTTGTAACCGTGAATGGAACTGCTTGTTGCCCCAACATTAAGAAAGGCTGCATGTGACTGCAGGTTCAGGGTCTGCACTGAGTTTTGTTCATTGACGTGTCAACATCTTTTTCTTACCATTTTACTGTTTCAGCAGAAAAAGGGTTGTGGCAAGTTAGTGTTTCAGTTACTTGTCATACAAAAGTAAGGGGAGTACATCATGATATGATGATGTTTATTTGTTTTTGTGTATCACTTAATGTAGTCTTTTACTATTATAATTTTTACCTTCATTATGTCACATCATATCAGGACAATATTTTCATGGTGTTTTGCTCTAACTCAGAGAACTTTAAGGCTGTTACCATATTCCAAAGTTTCTCATCTTACCTTCAGAAGTAACTTTGTAAGCCTATGTTTCATTGCAAGTCAATGAATCACACATTCCTGTGTGCTGCGGCCCATTATAAAACAAGGTTTAAGACATTTTGTACTTCATTCTTTAAGAAATGTTATCCAATATGCTTGAAAGGCTGGGGTCTGAGAGGGGAAAGAGTCTGAATCTTCAGGTCTTCTGAAGCTAAATTTGGGTTTGTAAGGAAACTGTGTGTGTTGGAGAGGGAAGTGAGATTTGACTTTTTTTTTTAAAGGGAGTTGATGGGTGCAATTTGGGGGTTTTAGGGAGGTTTTGTTGTAGGAATTATTTATGGAATGAAAAAGAGGTACACAAAAAAGGAAGGTTCAGCCCAGGTAATTGTTACAGCCCATGCCGTTCGAAGGGACTGGCTGGGGAGGGAATCCCAAATAAATCCTGAGGAATGCCCAGTTTTTAAGAGGAAATAGGAGACTAATGAGACCAGTTACAGTGGTGGTTTTTTTCATCTCCTTCCTAAGTACCCCCTCTCTTGGCTTGTCTGACACAGATCTAAATTTAGAAAACTTATCAAAACACAACATTTCTGAAGGAGCCCACAGGCATTTGAAGATGTCTGTGTGGAAGCTTCGGTGGTGTTTCAGCAGCCAGGGAGGACTGCGGTTGCTTGTGCTGGAAGCTGGAAGACTGCCACTCCGCTATCTTTGTTTAGCTTCCTTTGCTGCATAAAGCATAGAAGACGGGACACAGATCTAAATTTAGAAAACTTATCAAAACACAACATTTCTGAAGGAGCCCACAGGCATTTGAAGATGTCTGTGTGGAAGCTTCGGTGGTGTTTCAGCAGCCAGGGAGGACTGCGGTTGCTTGTGCTGGAAGCTGGAAGACTGCCACTCCGCTATCTTTGTTTAGCTTCCTTTGCTGCATAAAGCATAGAAGACGGCAACCGACATTATTGTCAGTTAAAAAGTACCTTTGCTGCATAAAGCATAGAAGACGGCAACCGACATTATTGTCAGTGTTAAAAAGTAATTACGGAGGTGATGATTTCAACTTCAAATCTTACCACCCTTGCATTCAGCAGTCCAAATGCCTCCAAACACTGCAGTCACCAAATTCACTAGTTTCATTGCACCCCTTGCCATTTTGCAGTTTCCTCCTCACTGTGAGAAGCACCTCGCCATGAAAAGTAAAGGGTTAATGACAGTGAAGACAAAGGGAAAAGCAAGAAGAAGGTGTTTGCTTTCCCCTGTTACTGTTTAAAGTTTGATATGGCAGCTTAAACTCCACTTCCCATGCCACATGTCCATGTCGCTGTTCAGACTGACCATGTTGTGTGTGTCCCCTGCCCAGGATGTTTGGCTGTTATTTATATTTTCATTATTTTTAGTTCAATAAAATTATTTTCTAAGCCTTTTCTCTCTCTTTTCTTTCTGTCTCTCTCTTCGCTGTGCCCCAGAAGAAATAACCTGATATAACTCAAAATTTCTCTAGTTTATACCTGTCGGAACTTTTCATATTTTGTCAACCATTTTGTGAAATCTCATGCAGGTTTGTATTTCCTAGTAGGGTTTGGTTTCTGGGCAGAGCTGAAGAAAACTCCTAGGAGTAAGGTGGAGAAACATTCTTTACATAGGTGTGTCTTCCTAAGTCATGAGTAATGAAATGGTTTGGTCCACATTCCTATTCCCTGATGCCTCTGATTGTTGTAACTGCTTTACCCTTTCTAAACAAGTGGTTTCACGGGAAGGACTCCCTGCTTCTGCACAGGGCTCCCTGTACCATAATGGGATTTTCTGACTTACCTTCCTTTTGACTTCATTCCAAGCTTTTAACAGACCGTTTTGCAACTCAGTTTCTTCCAGCGGCTTTGTGTGTCAAGCACTGTCAGAAGCAAAATTATATTCTACAGGAAAACCTGTCTAGCATCTGTGATCAGAGAACAGCTTGCTCGCTCCTAATAGCTTTGTTTGTTTGTTTGTTTGTCTGTTTGAATATTGTGAGCAAAGATATCACAGATATATCTAACCATAACTTTGCTCTTCTGATCAAAAACTTACCAGTGCTGCTTATGACAGTCTGATGTCATCCTCTTGCCCCAAACCAACTGAGGAATTTGAAATTAGCCTTGTGGTGTTTGGTTAGGTTTTTTTAATAGCAAAATTTTATGGGGCATTTAACCATCTGCTTTTTCTGCATCTGAGAGGTTGATGAAGTTGTTCATATTAGAGTTTGAGGGAATTTTAAAAGCAGTTACATGTAGCTAATTGTGTTTCTTTCCCTGTTTAATAACATTTTCTGTGATAAGTGGAAGTACACTGGTTAAGTGTTTTAATACTAGTTGTTGCCTAAGCCATTTCTGTATTTCTATTGATGTTTTGTTGGAATTGAAATTGTGAACACACTTTTGGCAAAATACTGTCCATTTTTAGGTAAGTAGTCAATAAATTTTGGCTTTTAATAGTATAGATTACTTCAATGGTAATACATCCTTGTTCATGAGGAAAAAACATATTACATTTCCTAATTTTTGGAAAAAAAATGCAACAATTAAGAACTTCATTGCATCTTAGCACATTTGCTGGGCAAATATATGCAACCTTTTAATAGTTAATACTTGATGTTAGGTATAACAGTTAAAATACTTAGTTATGCTCTGTTTTAAACAACATACTTGAATGGTGATCTCTCAAAATGTGGCCAGCCAACAGCCTCACAATGTGCATGCATAGTCTCTATTTAGGAGATCCTCTACTGAGTAAGCATCTCAAATATGTTACTTAGTAGTCTCTTGGATGGGGACAGGAATACACAATTAAAAAAAAAAAAGGTTCTGAAAAAGGAGATGCTATGATCCCATCATGGAGGAGATGTGAAGTGATTGGTCTAGTGTTGTGCAAGACAGCTGCCAGAGGGAAAACATACTCTTTTTACTCAAAACTGCTTTCTTCACTGAGTGTAATAGTTCATGAACAAGGTGAACATCCTGAACAAAGTTCTGCCATTGCTTATATATTCTAAGCGTATCTAACAGGCTGTGTTCCCTGTGAAACTAAACCTCTAAGCTAAACACATTTGTCAGTTGCTTGAAAAGCTGAAATTCTAATGTTGTTCAATGCTTGTTACTTCATTTAAACTGAATTGTCATCATTTACGCTGTTGAAAGTCCTACTCTGTGCCTTCTCTGCGAAGAGAACTACTTGTGTGTTGTGGCAGCTTTTGGTGAAACTCCCTCACGGGTGAGCTGTTATTTACTGGAATTACCCCAGTAACGCCATTGCCTGTTCCACTGATGCTGCTGAAATCATTCCTAGGACTTCAGAGCCCTTACGGGTGTTTGTTGGCTTCACTGACCTCTGTGTATCTGCAGCTTTCTGTGTAGCACTGCCGATAGTGGAGGCAGCCAGTGGCAATGACCGTGGGTGTACGTTAAGGCTTCTGCAGTTTTGCTGTTAAGAACTACTGTGTAGTATATCAAATGAGTAGCTTCTTGACTTTGTATCAAAATGACTAGATGGAAAGTATATCCTGCTGCCTTTGCTTATTTCATTGCATCCTCCCTCCTTAAATACTCGGTAAAATCTGTAAAACAAAAATGGATCTGGTACATGTACTTTAAAGAGCAAATGGTGGTTAGTTGCACATCTAGGGTACTACACTGTGGTTTAGGTAAACAAGGATTATTCCTTCATTCTCACAGGATTGTATGAAAGAGAAGTCCTACCACATCAGTGATTATTTGAAAGTAAAATGGAGGTGTGTTTTAGCTGTAATTGCCCACATGTTCTACTCTGAAAAATATCAACTGTCTACCTGGAAATTGAGATATAATTGCTTTAATTGGTGTTGAACTTAATAATTTGAAAAGGAGGGGCAAGCACCACAAAAAGTGTTCATGAGCTGCATAAAGTATCTTAAATGAATTTGTCAGTCATCTTGATGCTGACATTTGAAATACTGGCTTAACTTTTGTTTTTATTCAAAGCAAAGGTAATTTTCTAACTGATTTCAAAGATAATCTGATACCAAGTGCTTTGATTTTTTTTAAATTTTTTTCTTTTTTAAAATTTTTTCCCCCTTTTTTTTTCCTCCTTTGACTGGACTGCTATGAGAGCAGAGAAAGAGGAAGGGCACTGGTGCAGCTTTTGTCTGGAAGACCTGAACAGAATGGAAAGAAGTGGTGGGAATATCTTTACATATGGCTGAAAAAGAAAAATCTCTATATTACAAAATGGGATGAGTTTGAACAGCATTGGATGTGTTGGTTTTATTTTTTTGGGCTGCAAATTTTTGGTAAAGAGTAAAATTCTAAATTAATATATTTATTTCTCTGACTAAATTAATATATTTATCTCTCTGAATTACTTCAAAATTCTTAAAATAATTTGCATTGTCTTTAATATGAAGATAATGATCTAACTTCAAATATAATAATGGACTTTTCTCTGGATAGATTTTTCAAGAATCGTGCTTTTAGCAGGAAGAAAGGTGAGTAATTTAGCTTATGTTCCATGGGAGACACAAATATCCTGTACAAATTCTTCAGAATATCATGAATTATACAAGGAAGTACTTATGAATAATTGCACCTAATTAACTAGGTAGAAATGGGCAGCAGATGTACAGAGCAAAGCATTCTCAACTGATAGTTATAGAGCTTTCTGGATTGTAAGACTTATGATGAATTTAATAATATTTTCTTTGGGGGGGGGGTATATATGTATAAAAAATACACACGCTTTTTTTTCCCCTGCACACACCAAAGGATGTGCTGGAGGGTTTTAGAACTTGTAAAGAGTTAGTGACTTCTGTATTTATTACATATATTCATTGGGTTCTTATTCTTGAAGAAGCTATTTTAGAAAACCGTATTTAATATACTTTAAGTATCTCATGCAGCAGAGTATCTCTTAGCTTTAAGAAGCTATTCTGAAGTTGTAGCAATCTGAAATGGTATGCTTTCCAAAAGAATATCAAACTACTAAATATTCAGAGTTATGTGTGTTGCTATTCTGGCTTGCTCATTCTCTTTTCATGGTCTGTTTATGATTAAACATGAGTTTTTAGATGGAGCATTAGAGATGCAGCTTTTTTTACTGACAGCTTTGTTGCTATTTTCCCCATTTGTTTGTAATGTAGAAAATATTCAGTAGGTCTAATTTCTTTATTTTTCATGTTTTCTTCTAAAGATCCTTTAGTGTGATACACACTGAACTAGAGTCACCGCTTTAATAACTAGGTGTAAACTCAACTGGAGTAAGTGTAAATGTTTTGTTTATGTAACAAGAATTCCTGCTTTGGTATCAATACCAAAGCTGGAAATAAAAGGAATCTGCCATACTTTATACCAACACGAAATGATAGCATGACTGCATCCTTCCATGTGTAGTACATTTATTTGTTAAAGCCAGATGAATCGAGATAATGTAAGTAGTCCAGGATATCAGCAGATGTAGCTTGATCACAAAAGGAAGATACACTTATTCACAAAGGCTACAAAACCCGATGAAAGATCATTTGATACCCCAGTAGCGTGATGGATGCTGAGGAAATAAGCGAAAATCCGTAGTCCATGCTCTTCGTAAGCACTGATGTATTTTCTTGTGTAGATATTTGTAACACCTCTGTCAAGAGATCTGTACCTACCAGCTGCTTAATAGTGTTGCCTAGCTTCTTCCAAATAATTTGAGAGACCATTTCAATATTCTTTAATTGTGGATTGATTTATCACAACTGGGAAAGGAGCTTGGGGTTTGTAGATTTTGTTTTGTCTAGGTGACAATATTTTTTTTTTTTTCCCTCTTCTTTAATGACTTCTCATAATATTTGAAACTTGGCCTGCCATGTTTCAGAAACAGACCAGTTGCGGTTTATGGGATATTTCCTCAGTGTTTTGACTTGCACCCAGTGCACTAAGATGCTCTTTCACTAATTCTCATTGTCCTTGCCAGTGTCTGCATCATGCCTTTATGGTCAAATTGTGAAGTTGTATCCTCAGGTATCTGGGATTATTTGAGGGGTCTGGATTAATTCCTTTCTGTTCTCACTACTTCTTCGTAAGAAAATTCCTACTGGCCTCACCTGAATACTTGGAATTTCACTGTGTTCAAGGGCATTTGCTTTGTTGTTCAGTTGATTTTATGTGCTATTCTCTTTACCCCAATAAGAAAAAAGTATCATAGAAGAAGTTGTCAGGCACAGTGAAGTGCAATTATTGTGGATTCTTAAAAATTATTCAGAACTTAAGCAACGAGAAGAATTAAATACTGACATACATTTATTTTACTCATAATAACGCACACAACATTTCTATTCTCATATCCTAGGAAAAACACAAATTTCAGTTAAGCAATTGTCAAGAATAAGTGAAAATTACGTATTTTTCATGCCAATTGAAGTTCAAAAAAGCTTGGCTGTATCAAATATCAACGTTCGCATCTAGTAACCGCATTTAAGAGCAGGTTCAAACAGGTTCAATTGCTGAACTTCCTTTATTGTATTTCCTGATTTTACTCCCAGACCTCAGAGATACAACAATTTCCATGCCTGTGTTTGGTGGGGTTGTTTGTGGGTGTCTCCTGTTCACAAGAGCATGGATATTTTGAGGAGTTAACTGCGTGAGTGCTGTGACTTCCCTAGCAGTGCTCTCTAAATCCAAATTAGTCTCCTGGTGGCTGTGCTGGTAGGGTTTGTGCTAATTACAAGTTTGCATCAGTCTGTTACCTTGGAGCTACATAAACAACAGTCTCAAATATGTAGGATTGTGAGGGGAATTTAAACAGATGTAAGTGGTACTTTCACAATAGTCAAAGGTTATCTGGACTGTGCAGACTTACAGAATAAGTGTCCTCTAATCCTCATTGCCACGATCAGTCTGTACTAGCCTTTCAATACGAAGCATATACAGAATGTAGTAGCTAGTGCCATAGCTCCTTACCTTCTTGAACCAGGTAAGCTGGTGACTAGAATGACTCGGACTGTGCTGTACTCGCTGAAAAGCTCGGTTCTTGCTCCATCACCTGATTCAAACAGCAGAACTTTCCTTCTAAGTGCAAGTACTTGGTGTAAGTTTATTTTTGAGGGCCATGATTTGAGCATGAAACAGCCACGTCCACTGACAAGGTGTGCTGAGTGCTCTGACCTTAAAAACAGCTGGTACAGTCATTGCCTGTCTGACTCCCAGAGATTTTGCACAAACCAGAACTTCTAACCTGGACATTTTATGTTTGCATTTTAGCTGTATTTATTTTTATTTAGCTGATAGTAATTTTAATTGAAGGCTTAATTGATGTGCTTAAATCTCCAACTGAAGATGAATAAAATTAAACTGTTCATCTTTCATCCTGATAATGACAATGAAAAATATAAGAAAATGTGAAGTTTAAGCAAATTCAGCTTGTTTCAGGAAGTACACAAGCAATCCTAAATAAATGGCATCTTTTTGCAGTCCAGGTTGTAATATCTGTTCTCATCAGTTAGCCATGAGCTCGTATAACAGGGAAACAAACTTTATGAAATAATACTGACAAAAAAAGATAATTTTTGGTTTAAAGCTGGTATCAGCACTTGCTGAAGTTGCATGTTTTAATGTGAAAAAATGTAGTACTCGTTCAAACTAAAATAGCCTTTCTGTTGACTTCAATAGAAGTTGGTTGGACTCCACAATTACGTATGTGTGGAGAAAATATTCTGTTGTAGCAATATTATATGACTGTACAAACTGTACAAAAATATATATTCTGTTTTCCATTCCTTGATCAATGAGTGCAGTATAGTCTATTGAAGTAGTTTTTATAGAGTATTTTTTTCCAAGGATCTCTTTTCTTCTCCCCCAAAAGCAAATTCAAGAACAACATTGTATGTGTTCTTGCTGCTTTGTTATTATGACAAAACTTGTGATAACATTTATGTATCTATCACAGTATCAGGAGCTTGCTTTTGTATGTGATCCAGGTATGGGTCATGGTTTCTGAAGAGTCCTCTTAATTTTTTCCTTTAAAGTCAGGTGTGGTAGCATGCTAACTTTGAAATGTTGTAGTGAGAAAAGTCTGTAGTGCAGATCAAAGTCTGTTCATCTTGAAATATGTTTGCATCTTGATAATTTCAGTCTCTCTTTTAAGTAATTTAGGGTTATTAATGTAATTCTCCTGTAAGAGATCTCTGTAAATGCTATATTTTCATGTAAATTTTTCTCATTATTAGTGTGTTGGTATCTAAACTGAATTAGCTATTTGTCCTTAATTTATATGTGATTGTGTGTACAGGTAATGTATATACATAAAACAGAAAGCATTAACTACGGGGTTTTTGTTTTGGTTTGGTTATTTTTTTAGTGAATGGAGGCGCCTCTCTGAGGCACATTTTACTGATTCTGCGGCCTTCCATTCAAAGCCATTAGTATAAAAACTGGTGCATATAAGTAAACAAAAGTTAACTAGTATTTGTTGGCTTTTGCCTCATCAGAAGTGTGAAAGAAAACTACTGTTCCTTCTAGAGAGAGGCATTTCTAAATATGGAATGACTGTAATCCAAACCTTCTGGGAGTAAAAGAGTGAAACTTCTTGAGTGTCTCAAAATAGTGCTAAAAATGTAGGTACGTATGTCTACTTTGGGCTAAATTTAGTACTGAATTACAATGTGTGAAATCCAGTGGACTTAGTGAGGTTGTGGAGGGTGTAAATCACAGTTGAATTTAATTCATTCTTTATTACACCCCAATGGTCCTCCTTCATCCCAGAATAAATGTCAGCCTTAGTTTACATATGGCAGGCACAAAGTTCAATGCCAAAGTTGCTGTTGTATGCGGGAATCTGAATTTTCTAATTTTTTTTTCCATATGATAGCAGTTCGTAAGGTTGGTAATTGATGCCACATTATCAGCTCATGAGATCTAGATGGTATTCATAATGCTAAATGGAATATATTGAAGTAATAGCCTGTCATAAATCAGAAGTTTCAGCAATAACATTTCTGTGCAATGGCTTTTTGAGTCTCATTTATGAAAGTGCAGACAGATGTATTTAATGGGCAGGGTCTGACATATAAAAAAATGCATCCAAAGGTTATAGGATGCTCTTTTATGTGAATGGACTGGCTATAATATGATCTTTATTTTTATTGTAAACTTATGCTGCATTCCAGAGGTGACAAATGTTTTATTTTATATTTCTTTTTCTGAATGAGTAGACAACAGGTGAAGCCCCAAAAGGGTGAAGGGGATAAGTATAGTCCTAAAGCAAATACTTTCATTCTGTCAGAGATTATATTTCACATCGGTGGTTTAAACAAACGGGCTATTGTGTGCTGGACTTCCACGTTAACAGTAATGATAAAAAACATAAAGAAAGAGTAGATACTCATATACTTTAAAGGCACATAAATAGTCACAATCTTCCTCATTGTGATCTTCGGATATTCTTGTGATTGCACTTTGTCCTTTCATAAAAGCACTCATCACCTTCCAGGACAAAAACAAAAATAGGTCTAAA